ATATATATATATTTATTTATTTATTTATTTATAAAATGTAGGTATTAAATCTTATGACAGATAAAAAAATTAAATATTGAAAATCAAATAAATTCGTTAAAATAATTAAATAATTAAATATTAAATAATTGAATACGTAAAAACAATGTTTAAATTCAGAATACGCAAAATAAACTTATGTATTCAAAAATACAAAAACTTATTTTTCGTATTTGCTCGTTTTACTAAATAAATTTTAATTACTCTCTTTCGACTTAATTAAATTTTGATGATGCTCCATTTAGAAAATTAGCCATTAAGAAATGAGTCGCCAAGGTAGGACAAGTCAAAGAGTGGTCCCTAGCTAGAGCTACAAGGACTTGTATAAATCCATTCAAGCTCAAAGGCTTTCCTCTTTGAGTGTGTGATAGCTCCCCCAAAGCTACTTTCCATTATTCAAACAAGCAAACCGTCACTAGCACTTCAATATAGGTACAGGGAATGAGCATCTCAAGAGGCCAAGGGTTCGATCCTCTATGCTCAATCAATATTTAGCTCACGACTATCATAACCCAACGTAAATTACCATTTGTATTTAACGCCTTAAGATTATACCTAGAGACTCGCTAACATGCATATAGGATTCACCATTACTCACCCGCTTGTCTGGAAGACTTGTTATACCAACTCATCTGTGAAAACTCGATAAAGGGTATTTGTCTTAAAATCCAAGGACCAAACTAAAAACAAAGGGTCATATGTGCGCCTATCAAGCCATGAGACATGTCATATATAGTCCATAATGGGAAGTAATTAATGATGTTTTTTAATCTTTTTTATGTAACATTCTATATAGCTCTTGTATCCCTATAAATAAAAGGTGAAAAGATGCATTTAGAATGTTTTGGAGGATCATTATTGATCTACTAGAGCATTCTCGAGATTTTCTTAGTTTTTCCTTAGATTTTCTAAGTACTCTATTCTCTTTATCATGCTCACTCTAAGTCTTTGTATCCCTATAAAATATGTCATGTACTTGGTGCCTACAATCATATTCTACTGTTTTAAGCACCAAAGAGAGTCATAAATGGTTAGAATCCTTTAAGATTCTGTCTGGGACCCAAAAAATATGATTTGAACTATTCTATGATATGAATTTCAATTCTATTTATTTAGTTAGTACTATTATTTGAATCTGGATAACTGCTATGTTGTTATTACTTTGTAAAATATAGTGTAATAACTCTTGATTTTTTTGTATTAAGTATTATACTATTCATTTCAATTTAAAATGAAATATAAGAAAAACCACCCATTAAAATTTTAATATAAACTAGTCAAAATGCTCATGATAATGATATATATCACATATAAAAAATTATACAGTAAAAAGTTACTAAAATGAAAGATATTATACTTTATTAATTTTTGGGAGGGAGAAATAAGCAAATCACAAAATCAATGAAAATAGAAGTAGGGTTTGGGTTACCTATCACGATCAAAACACTTTCACAACATAAGTGATAGGAAATAATAGCCTAATCCCTACTTTATCTCTCCTCTGCATTCCTTTCTCTCTCTTTTTTTCTTTCCCCTTCTCTCTCCTCTCACCCTGCTAAGGAAGGAAATGGGGGAGGGAGAAGGGGTAGAAAGGGTTTTAATCTAAAGATTTTATATATTTTATTTATAAAAAAACAAAATTCTAAACCTAGCGCTGCAGTGCTACAGACCCAACGTTATAGCACCACCTCAATTTCAAAAAATATAAGAGATTGGAGCTGTTGTGCCCCATGCTCAACACCACAGTGTTACTCAACCAATTTTGTTAAAATTTAGTGAAAATTAAATTCAAGAGTATTACACCTCACCACCACTATCAGCCTGATGTGATCCTAAGAGCAATGTCGGCCAACTATGATCCTTTCAACCGCCTTCTTCTGATTATAATCCTCTAACCACCATAACCTGACAAATAGTCCTTCGACCAATGTTGTCAAACTACAATCCTCAAATCAATGTTTCCCAACTCAACTTTTTCGACCATCGTAGCATGACTACAGGCATCTGACCTCCATTATCCAATTATGCTCATCTAACCTATGTTACCCAATTGCGATCCTTTCAACCACCATTGTTCGACTACTATCCTCTTGACCATCATCGCCCAAAAAAGGCTCTCAAGTTACAATCTTCTAACCATTATTACCTAATTGCTTAAATGTCTGCTGGCTTCGTCACCTACCATCGTTAATGCATGTGTCACTTGTAAGATCATTCACGCCATCAAAAGTAAATATGCCTCTCAATATCAGCACTCAAACTTATATTACATTTCTTAGTCTAAGGTTTCTCCACTTAAAAGGAGTGTGATTGGATAACATGAAATGAACTATTGAATATAACTTCTATGCCATAAGGCTTTTCCAACTTCCACTTTATATTTGTCATGTATGACTAATCTTATATCAATACTTTTCCCAATTATTAGAAAATAAATCATTTATAATTAATAACAAACACTGATGGAATCATTTTAAATCAGTCTAGCCCCTTGGTTTTCCCTCTCTAGAAAATTTCAAGTTAGGAATTCAATTGTATCTTATAATTATTACACTCTTCTCTTATATATGCGTGCAATGGAACTTCTTACAAAGGTGAGATGTTAAATTCTCTATCACTCTATCATCAAGAGTGTTCAAGCACACTATAATTATAAAATTTTATAATGCTTAAAAATATTTTAAATATTTTGTTGTTGATATGTTATATATTCATCTTGAAGGTAGTGAAGTCAAGGTTTTTTCTTCTTGATGGCTACATTATAAATTTTTTTAATGTATTAAAAGATTTAATATGGTTTTTTTCTTAATGTATAATGTACCCATCTTGAAGGTAATAAAGTCAAGTTTTTTTTTTTATGCATTATTTAGTGAGCAGATGAATGTTGAGAATGAAACACTTGATGTTCAATTTTAATCTTACATTATTGTGCAACAAAACCCCTTCAATCTAATTGAAAATGTGATTTTCAATGATAATCATAATATTGACCATGATGATATTAAAGATGTTGGTGAGGAAAATTAAATTGAAAATTGCAATGGAGATTAATAAGAGAATGAAGATGTAAAATGTTTGGATGAGTTCAAAGAAGTTATTTATTTTATGGCTAAAAGAAGGGAGAATGTTATCCCTACCAAAAGAAAGTTGTCGTAAGAAATATTAATGCAACCACTCAATTCATAAGGCATTTGGAGCATTGTACATCCAAGATTCATGCATTGAAGAAGCAAATAATATTATATTTTCATTCAAAATATCATGGTAGTGCATGTCCCCAAATAAACCAAGAAGGTTATATTATAATTACTTTAAAGTATGAACATAACACAACTTAGAGAGTTGATTTGCTCATTATATATTGATTAAAAAGAAATCCTTTCTAAATTGTTAATGAGTTTAATTTTAATTTAGCTTTGAAGTTGATGTGCCCTTATTTTATGAAATATTCAAAGGCAACTATATAAAATGATATCATGGTTATATATGAGAAGGAGAAAAGGAAGCTTTATAAGAATGTTTTAAAAAGTATTAAGAAAATGAGTTTTACTATATACTTATGTAAGTAAAAATATTAGATAATATCATTCATAATTTTTTTTGTATTTATCATCATATTAGTAAAAGTGAAGTTAGAGAGACTTTTCGAAAAATGAAGCTTGAAAAAGATGATGGACTTGTGCTTCAAAAATGCATAGGTTTTTAAACCTTTGATGAGGGATATTCAATTTATGAAAGCTGAAATATATTCAAAGAAATGCTTAAAAAATGCCCTCACCAAACCTTAAAAAATGGTTATTCAAACTTTTTATAATGGATTGGTATGATTCCTAAGGTCAATCATAGATGTAACAGTAGGAGGATCTTTAATGTATAAACCCTTTGATGAGACATATGCACTTATAGAGGAAATGGATAAATAATTTTCTATAGCCTTCCAATAGGGTGAATTCTAAGAGAGTGGCTGGAGTTTATGAATCTGACGCTTTATCCATTTTTACTATTTAGGTTGCTACAATTTCTCAAAAAATTAGAA